AATGTCGATAAAATAATGTTTGCTCAATCAAAAACTTTAAAAAAGGTGGTCAAGTGGGTGTCACTCTGCTGTACAGTAAATTACAAGTAGGTTACTGTATAATGGATGGTATTAAATTTGAATCCAATGATATAACATCATTGTATAAGAAAAACGATTCTGCGTAAAAATTACCGTTTTTCCTTAATTTTTAGTTTGTTTTTCCTAGAGCTTTTGAAAAATATTGTGAATTTTAAAAAATGGCCTCCCGAATGCACCAACTAGATTCACTTTCTCATCGAGCAAGATACTGAAGTTGAAAATCGAAGCATTATTTCGACTACTTATCGTGTACAGTGTACACAGACACAAAAAAAAATAAAAAATACACACATCATTATAAAATCAATACATTCATCGCTCCGCTCAGAATCTAAAATGTAATACAAGGTTCCGTTTCTTTAAACTATATTATAATGTTAATAATATTTTGTAATTGAAGGTACGAACAAATGAAAATGATTAGAAGGCTATATCAAAAGAATTTTAGAAAAGGTGTAACATTCCACATTGCATAGGTGAAATTGATGGTAAACACATTACCATCCGAAAACCACCAGGAACAGGCTCCTATTATTTCAACTACAAATCATCATTCAGCATTGTGTTAATGGTAATAGTGAATGCTAATTATGAATTCATAATGGTAGATGTTGAAACCGACGGAAGGGTCTATGACGCAGGAGTGTTTTTTTAATACTCAGTTCTATAAGCGACTTGTAAAAAATGAGCTATACATTCCTCAGACTGATAATTTACCTAATAGTGAAATAAAACAGCCATAAGTTTTGCTAGCAGATAATGCATTTTCTCTTATGGATAACTTAATGAAACCATTTAGTAGAAAAAACCTGACCACAGAAAAAGCTATATTCAATTATAGACTATCTCGTGCTAGACGTATTGTGGAAAATGCATTCGGAATATTATCATCCCGATTCCGAATATTGCTGAAAGAAATTAATTTATGTCCAGAAAAAGCCACTCTGATTGTTCTAACATGCACTCATTTACATAATTATTTACGAATGAAAAAAGTCGAGTCTTACAACTAAGGAAGTTTTGATGTTGAAGATACAACGACAGGAGAGAGATGGTAAACGCAAACTGGAAATCAGATCAAAGGTTACTTCCTCTACAACAACTTTAAGGGCGAAATATCCCTGTATCATCAAAGAAATACGCTTAAACTTCTCACACTATTTCAATAGTGAGCAAGGAGCTGTACCA